GGGGATGGGTTCTTTTGTTACTCTGTACCTGTGACAATATGACAATAAAATGCTGGACAAAAAAAAAGTATGTTGAAATGTAAAGTTCACATCCATAGATTAAATGTATGTGCAAGGTTTGCACTACAGATGCAGAAACCTTGTGGACTTAAGATGGCCAATGAGGCCCAGAAAACACACCAAAAGAGGAAAAAACATCAGACTGGATCCAAAAATTGTAGAGCTCTGTTTTTCTTTGGTATATATATATATATATATATGTATATATATATATATATATATATATATATATATATGCAAAAAAAAAAAAATGACTTCTTACATTTCAAAGCAGAGAGGCAAGGATTCCACTCTCTTCAATCACAGCAGAACACATTTAAACAACCCAGCTTTCTGAATTATCCGCCTGTACCATCTCTCAGGGGTGGAAACTTTAACATTTACATTTTCTGTTTGTACAGAAATTAACTAAATTAAACCTCTAGAGGAAAAACAATAAATAAATAACACACATTGACAGTTAACTTAAACAAATTGAAGCTAAACAATACTCCAAGTCCAAACAAAACACAAAACATCTTCCCTCCTTCTCAGTTAGTATGGATTTCCCTTATGAGGCTGATTGGAAACACCAGATCCTTGTCAGCCCTGGTCATGGGCGCGCTTCCATGGCAACACCTGACCAGGTAACCTCAAAGAAAAACAGAGTGGTGAGAACCAAACAAAAATATACAAGTTACATCAATAAAGACAAAAACTTAAACCTTCCCCCAATAACACATTTTTTCTGAAAGACATTAAAATGCCTGCTTGCAACACCAATTAGTGAGGGGGTAAATCTCTCACAGTATACTTTTCTAGAAAGGTTGTCAACATGAAGGGTCGCTCCTTCTAAAAACAAATCTACACCACTGTGATTTGTGAAAGTCACATCTTAGTAAACCACAGTTGTTTTGCAATTAGGCCCCTTGGTCCTCTGAGACCAAAGCAATATTTGGCCATAACACATATCTGCACCTACACTTCATGCCTGTCAAGCACAATAGTGGAGGGCTGATGATTTGGGCTTGTTTTGCAGTAACAGAAGTCAGAAGTTGAGCCAAAATGTTAAAAAGCTGGAGCTATAATGTCTAAAAACATAAAGTCAGATACATCAAGTTTTAACAGAAGCTGGTTTTGTTTGTTCAATTCAAAATATTTATTAGATTCTTCCTATTTTCCCTTTTGGCTCCATTTTTTTTCTTTGCAAAATAAATTGTGTTTTTTTTGCAAAATCAAGTTTAGTTAAAGTAGTTCAGAACCTATAGAGTCCAGATGACTTTCATAATGTCCTGATGTATGAAGCTCACCAACTGATGGGACACCAGTTTGTATTATAATCTATATAGAGAGATTTTCTGCACAGCTTGTCTTTAGGTTGGTGATTTTTGACTGATAACACTGAAGAACAGTGATTTAGTCCTGGAAGGAAAAGTAGGAGGAGAGAAGTCAATAGGAAGGCTCTTGCTCAACAGGTAGCCAAAGTACAAAAGAAGCTGCAAACACATCTGCCACCCGAGAAGTGAATGTTCTTGGGAAATCACAGCCTTCCTACAACCTGACCTCAAACAGGTGGGCAGTCTTCACCTACAGCACAGTGTGGTAAGCGGAGGACATTCTTTTGTCTGTAGTTTTGTAAAACGGATAAATGTATGAATATTTATTTAATAAATGAGAAAAAAAAACTGTGAAATCCAGTGACAGCAATAGTTTGCAGTCAGCATACATGTGCGCCTGTAGGAAGGATGTGGTTGTCATTTCTGGAGATGGAGGCAGAAACACAAAGGAGTGTGAGATTTAAATAGACACAACATATGATGCATATTCTTTGTTGATGATGCTCGAATGTATCTGATTTAAGAAGGTTCCGTTTTTAGGAAGTATGTTTCGTTTTTACTGAACAGTAGCATCTAGCTTTTTTTTATTACTCAAATTAAAATGTCAAAATAAAAGTATTTGAATTTTTTTTTTTAACCTTTGGTTTAATTTATCTAATTCCAATGTGAAGCAACTTAAACATTAATTCTGATTCAGATTTCTTAGCATACTCATATAAATTACTATTAAAAAGGTTCAACCTAAAATCCAGCAACAGCACAATGAAAAAAATTAACTTTCATACCTTAATGGGTTTGTTGATTGTTAAATTCTATGATTGATTTGTATTATTTCAAATAATGAAAGAATCAACTTCAGAATCTGTTGCTGCAGAGTTCATGTAATACATGTTCAAAGGCGCCAGGACCATAAAAGATGTACTCTGAACTAATAAGTTGTACTCTGAACTAATGTACGGAGTGCTTTCTAATCACTGATCCCAGCTAATGAGAAATCTTTAGGCCTGCCAGCCTGTCTGTTCTGGAAGTCAACAAAAGTAGCTGCAAATAAGAAAACAGTCAAAACTAAAAAAAAAAAAGCATCATATAAGAAGAATATTTCTCATCTTAATTTGGCCGATGCTCTTTATATTTAGGATTATCTGCACTTTGATAATTACCCTTGCACTGTTATATGTGGAATACAGGAAATTGTAATATTCTCTGCTGAGAAAATGGGAAAAGGATGCATCTTAAAGCTTGTTAAAATTACTGCAGGTAAGTTCAGTAAAATTTATCAGCACAGTTTATGAACCAGCTCTGGCAATAACCTCACATTCATTCATCATTGGCACAGATATAATTAATTTTGCATAAACAGCGGATGTTTGAAGTTATATCATTAATAAACATAGACTCCCATAAACATTTTTTTGCACAGTTTGTACATTGATATTTTATGGCACCAGCAGTGCTCTAGAATAGTTGTGTCTGAACTTTTTACCACTCTGTTGGAAGAATTGATAATCGTCATTAGAATGTTGTTTTTTTTGGCAAAGAAGTTTTTTCCACATTGAGATCCAGATTCTGGAAGCTCTGCTTTATTTTGCATTATCCATACCAAAAGTACCATTATCCTGTTTAACCCCCACATGTTGGTGATTTTAGTTTGCAGAACTTTGCAAAGGTCTTCCAACTGTTTCACTGGAAGACCCTCAGTACTATGGCACCACCACCATGCATAAATGTTGATTCTATGCTCTTAGCTGTGAAAAAAAATATTGAATCCACCTAATATTTTCATTGCTGCTGTAAGGAAATAACTTGTCTTTGTCTTGTCTGGCTGACAATCATGCTTCTTTCTAGAGCACTTTAAAAATGACGTAAAGGCTGACCAAATTGCTGCAAAAAAATTGAACACAAAACCATTAATATATATAAATCACACCATAATAAAATCAGAAAGAAAAAAGAAAAAGAAGAGAAGTAAGTTTGAAAAAAAAAGACTCAGTCTGTGTTAAAAGCAACGAGAAATAGTGTGTTTTTAGACAGGTTTTAAAAACAGATTAAAAAGAGCCTGTGACCACCAGTGGCAGTTCATTCCATAGCTTAGTAGCAAAAACTCCAGAAGCTCAGTCTCCTCTACATTTATAACAAGACTTTAGGAGAGATAAAAGCAACTGGTCTGCAGAGCTAACAACCTCTACAGGTATGTAAGGGTGGAGCGGTTCAGATAAGGAGAAAGGGGCCAACACATTTTGGCACTTAAAAGCAAATAAAAACATTTAAAATGGATTTGAAATCTAACAGGGTGCCCTTGGATGGATGCTAGAACTGGACTGATGTGCTCATGTTATTTTCACCAGTCTAGCTGTGAAAAATAGACACAACACGGTCGTTGAGGAGGTATTGTTAACGACCGACTCTTAACAATCATAGACAGGTTTCTGGTATTACAGAAGACAATCCCCCCCCTTTAACGACCCACCCTCAGAATCATAGACAGGTTTCAGATATTACAGGCTAACAATGGAACCAAACGACCCATTCATTGGTTACCATTTGCATGTTTCCAAGCGATACAAGGCTTTGTCTATATAAGACTCAAACTCACTGCGGATCAAGACATTTGAATTGAGAAAGCTTCCTGGAGAGGTGGCGAACGTCTTCAAATCTTGGAAACCAAGTCCAGTGGATATTTATTTAATTTTTACGGAACTCTTCACTGTAGATGTTGACACTGGTGTTTTGCTGGTACTATTTAATGAAGATGCCAGTTGGGGACCTGTGAGGCGTCTGTTTCTCAAACTAGAGACTCTAAAGTACTTATCTTCTTGCTCAGTTGTGCAACGCGGCCTCCCACTTCTTTTTCTACTCTGGTTAGAGCCTGTTTGTGCTGTCCTCTGAAGGGAGGAGTACGCACCGTAATAGGAAATCTTCAATTTCTTAGCAATTTCTAGGATGGAATAGCCTTAATTTCTAAGAACAAGAATAGACTGTGAAGTTTCAGATGAAAGTTCTCTTTTTCTGGCCATTTTGAGCGTTGAATTGACCCCACAAATGTGATGCTCCAGAAATTCAATCTGCTCAAAGGAAGGCCAGTTTTGTAGCTTCTGTAACGAGCTAAACTGTTTTCAGATGTGTGAACATGATTGCACAAGGGTTTTCTAATCATCAATTAGCCTTCTGAGCCAATGAGCAAACACATTGTACCATTAGAACACTGGAGTGATAGTCGCTGGAAATGGGCCTCTATACACCTATGTAGATATTGCACCAAAAACCAGACATTTGCAGCTAGAATAGTCATTTACCAATTTACTTAAGAGTAGTTTAAAGTTATCTTCATTGAAAAGTACAGTGCTTTTCCTTCAAAAATAATGTGATCCCAAACTTTTGAACGGTAGTGTCACTAAATACCAGTGGGCAAGAACTGAAGCAGAATCTGTCAGTTTGATTCAAACAAGTCTAAATATATTGAGGATTATAGCAATGCTTTGTTTTATTTAGAGGGAAATGCTGCTGCATATCATACTACTAGTTCATCCTGAATTATCAATACTACAAAGATAATATATATGCAGGATAAGATTAAACTTCTAATTCAACCTCTGATTCACCAGTCCAATCTCTCTATTGGTTTCCAGGATGATCTTGACATGGACAACAAAGAGAATCAGTTTCCTGGCTCAGACTTTAATCAAAATGATGGCTTCACATCCAACCTGACAGCTGCCAACACCAGCTTGCTGTACCCATATCTTCTGTCACCAGTGATGGACAAAACCATCAATATACTAATGATCATCGTGCTGTTCATCACCATGGTTTCACTGGGATGCACCATGGAGGTGACCAAGATCAAGGTACGCTAGTATCATCAAAAACTTTCTGTTTTAAAGGAAACTCTCCTGTATATCAGGACAGGCATTCATGTTTCTGTACTCTGTTTCTTTCCAGGACCACATACTGAAACCTAAAGGTGTGGCCATTGCAGTTCTTTCCCAGTACGGCATCATGCCTCTCACAGCTTTTTGCTTGGCCAAGGTTTGTACTGTTGTTCAAGTCAGAAAAATAATACAAAATCAAATCTTCTCATTCACCAGGTAGCATCCTTTGCAGGCTTGTAGACTTTATGTGAGCTTTTATCAGCTGATAATTGATCATAACAGAAAAACTAATTTTCAGGTTATGTTATATCATTATGTCATTAAATGAAGATTTAGATTTGATTATGTTAATATATTCCTTAAATATTTAAAGAAAAAAAGGAGTCAAATCTTTCCCTTTTTTTGCTATGCACAAGAACCTCAAAGGCACTTTCAGGTCAGATTAAACCAAATGCCTTCGCTAAAGTAAGTTTTGAAATAATCCAACCCAGTTTCTGCCATACATGCCTAAGTTTGAAAGTCCTTGCTAATGAAAGGCCAGAGAAAGTACTACAGTGTGGGATAATTTCTGAGTAAGACTGAGATTTTCTTTGAACATCTGCTTCTGCACTCTGTTGTTCAGCTGGCTGAAAGAGGCAAAAAACAAGATACATTTATTTATTTGGAGCTAATTTTAGTCACACACAAAAAACACAGGTATAGAAACTGAGGTATTATTACCCATCACTCCTATTAACATAACTAAGATAATAAAATTACACATCATGTTTGTTTATCAGGGAATACAAGCACTATCAAAGCAGATAATCTGCCTAATAAACCAGATATCAATAAGACTATTATACTTCTGTAACCCTGGATAGCTAAATAAGCAGCACTAGGTGAGATTTTCTTTATTTGTGTTTCCTTATCCAACAAATTATCATGATTTAATTTCTGCCTTCAATTTCCGTAGAGAAAGGGTCACCCCTGTAGGAAAAAATTTTATTATATTATCAAAGATACAATTTTACAGTTATTTCTGCCCAACTTTAGTAAAGGCATTTCTTCCCGGTTCGTACAAACTCCATACAGATGTCGATTTTTTGCTTGGGATTCTGCGGAACATCTTTACCACATACAAAAAATGTTGTCAATATTTTTAAATCCACTCAATTTAATCAAACTATTCCTTGTATATAATCAACAGCATTTAGCAAAATGAAGCAATATTTCTTTGGAGTCTATAGAAAGCCTTGTAGCAGTCTGGTGTTTAAAGCTGTGCCATCATCTACTTTAAAGAAAAATCTATAAAGGTTCAACAAAATACTGTTGTGTTCATTTAGATACTAAAGGTTTGGCTGCTTCTTGAAGTAGTTCTATAGAAGTGTTTGGGTTTAGTGTGATAACGTCTGAGGTTTGAAACGTGGACGTTTTCTCTGCAGGACCGTCTTTTCTATACATTTTTAAAGTTTGAACATTTCTTGTCAAGGCTCAGAACAGAAGACCCAGTAATCAAGGCAGAATCCAGTAGGAGTCAGAAGACAGGTCAGGTAAACAGATCAGAACAGGAACAGGTAGGTTCAGAGGTCCAAAGGCAGAACGGGTCAGGATAAGGCAATCAGAACTCAATCAGGTGTGCTAGAAAACTCTCACCAAAGGCTTGAATGATCTGGCACTGACGACTGGAAGCAGGCAGGTTAAAACAGATCAGGCAGGAACAATCGGGCTCAGTGGTTGAGAAGCAGAACAGGTCAGGATCAAAAACACTAAGGTAACGCTGGCACACTCTCACCACTGGCTTGAGAATAATCTGGCACTGATGACTGGTTAGAGAGCTAGTTAAATAGAGGCAGAAGCAGGTTGATCAGATAATGGTAATGAGAAACTGTGCAGACATAAACAGTTGAATGAAATGAGCAATTAAGGCAGTCCTCAGTGCCAAGATCATGAAATTTTCTCTTGTGCTATTTTACATTATCTTTAAAATTATTTGGGGAATCTTGGTACAAGGCTTTGTAACCAGAATGGTAACGCCCTGTATGTTGTCCTACTTTAATATTGTCACAACTTATATTCTCTGATGATCACCATGTTCCTTTTTATTATTTATGAGTCTTTCACAGACAGATTAATGAACCAAAGGCTATGTCGCTAAGTGTATATATATATATATATATTGAGTTGAATGACCTGTGTAACTTCACCTCCTTGGTCATTAAGCAACTTATTTTGCTGATTAACATTTTTCTGCAGATAACCTGTGTTGTTGTGTTGCAGGGTTTCCAGCTGCCTGAAACCACAGCTGTGGTGATTCTGATCTGTGGCTGCTGTCCTGGAGGAGCCCTCTCCAACATCTTGGCACTCGCTCTCAGGGGAGACATGAACCTCAGGTACCCAGATCCTTCACCAGTCATAGGACATTGAGAAAATGTAATGTAATGTAACATTTGAACTTAGCCTCTCTTTCTTTTTTTCTTTTTCCGATTTGGCGAACTTGAAAAACATCTTCACAGAGACACTTTATGTACAGAAAGATTCGAATTCACATCAGAAATGATATTCATTATTAGACATAATCCCAATTTTACAAACTGTTTTTTTTTTTTTTTTACGAACTGACGTTCAAATTGGAAATAACAACCTCAGCACACATTGAAACAATTGTTTTCATGGCACTACAGCTGATAATCAGTGTACATCCTGTAAAAAATACATTATTAGAGTTGAATGACCTACAGGGCAGCCTCAGTCTGGTAATAAATCCTGGATTTTATCATAATCTGATGTCAACAGAACCCTTTACAGTCATCAGCTACATCTTTCACCCCCATGTGTTTGTCCTTTTCTATGAAAGGCACAGGCGTAGATTTTATGGCGGCATGTAGTTCAGGACATTCCAGCTCCATCTAATGTCTGCTGATCTTATCTGACCTGGAAATGTCCTAGATTAATTACCAGCAAAGCATTCAGAAAAGAAAAGTCAACAGTTTTTAAATGACAGACTAATTTAACATCAGCAGTGTTTGAAATATTTTAGATAATTCTAGATTAGAGGATCACATATCCATTTGCTTTAGGGGTTGATGTCAGTTTGTCACTGAAAGCAGCTTTAATAATCTGTCTCAACTCAGCCACATTCATTTAACCAAAGAGAACATGCAATGATTTTCTTCTTTGTGGGATTACGTGTTTCACGGCTTTCACTTAACATAACATTTATCTGTGCAGCACAATCCGACTGCTTCAAAAGTATAAAGATTATTGTTTATTAATATTTAGAATCTAAAATTTGATCAGTCCTGACAACTCTTTAATCTAAAAAAACAAAAGGATTAGAAAACTTTTATGTAAAATCCCCCTGAGATAAAAAAAAATATAAATATATTTTGAAGAATCTGAGATTTAATAAGATGTTAAACTGTGATAAAAAAAATATATATAATTTATTTACTCAAAATATATTTCCTATACAGCATTTTCTGAACTTAACTGCATGTTGTGTGAGAAGAACATATTTTGGGTTAAGATTTTACTCACTTTTTGGAAAATATTCCAACTTTTCTTTACAAAATGAATCACCGTTCATTTTTCTTCTTATGAATTATTTATTCAGATTTATCTATAAATCAATAGTTTTTAGCAACTTTTTAAAATTATACCAAAAAAAAGTGTAAATATTTAAAGATATTTAAATTTTCTTAAAATCAGTCATTTTGTGGTGGAAAGAGTATCAGGTTCAGTAGTTTAAAAGCAAATGGTAATAAATAAATATTTACGTGTGTACTAAATTTAGATCAAATAAATGATAAATTGTTAACAAGAAGCTTTAAATCATCCATTTAAGGCCACAATAATGAGAATAAAGTGGAAAATATCTTACAGCAAAGACAGTTTCCTGAAACTTTTCAGTTCGTTCTGAATGAGCAACATTTATATGCTCAAAGAGAAATAATTTTATTTTAAATCCTATATATCTTACTAGGGTATTTATGTTAGCCATGGCTGCAGTAGTTCTTTGCACTAATGTCATTTCAATCTTACTGATTATATTGTGTTTTTGTTAATTTTCCATTAATATTTTGTGTTTACAGATAAGACACAAAATTAAACTTCCTCATTTTGTCTTTCTTGGTTAACCTGCCATACTGTCTAGATAGAAAATTACAACTGCTACAGCTGTTATGCAATATTAGGGGGCAATAAACTGTCGAACAATACCAACCTGAAAGTTTGCCTCATTAATCAGAGAAAAGAAAATCTGTCATATATATAAGCCTCTCTGGCGGCTCCTAGAGGATTTCAGGGTCATTACAACTAAGGAGAAAATTAAGCAGTCAGAACAAACTATAAATCTTCACAAGGACTGTTCATACACACACACATACATACATATGTATATATTTGTTATTGTTCATTTTTTTTGACTACCCAGGCTTTGTTGGGCTATTTTTAAAGCAAAAATCAGAAATGTTATTTTTCTTACAGATGTGGACATTTTTAATGTAATACTTTATGAATATCTGATCTGAGTTTTATGAAATTGAACTAAAATGATAAGATTTGTGCAGGGCATCATCTGCACATATTCAATCGATATATAATATATTTTTTTTAAAATATTACCCAACTAGAATCCAGCAAAAAGAATCTTGAATAAAGACAAAAAAAGTGATTTAAATATTTTGAAATTGCATTTTTGATTCCCTCAGCATTGTGATGACCTCCTTCTCCACGCTGATGGCTCTGGGAATGATGCCTCTGATGCTTTACCTGTACTGCCAGGGCTTCTCCAACCTCCAGAAAGCAGTGCCCTATGTGGACATCATTATATCCTTGGTCCTGATTCTGGTGCCATGCGGCTTCGGCATCCTAATCAACTACTTCCGGCCAAAGTATTCAAGGATAATCACAAAGGTCAGTGGTGTTAACTAACACTGCAGAAAACTTCGATAACAATCCGTAAAATTAATTTTGAAAAAAAAGTCTAAAAAGAAAAAAAACTGTTATCTGTTTTCAGGTGGGCCTGGGCGTTTTAATGATTTCCATTGTTGTGATTGGCATCATCTCCAGCGTTGAAATCGGAGGCTCCCTCCTTAATGTCCTCTCGCCTCCTCTCATGTCCATCGGTGCCCTCATGCCTCTTATTGGCTACTCTTTTGGTTACATCATCTCCTCTATCTTCAGACTCAACCAGCGGTAAGTCCTTAAGAGGCTACGAATATTTAACATTCCACATTTTGCAGCTGCAGACCCAAAACTTTAAATTTGTATCAACACAGGGCAGCACATAAATAGGAAGTTAGATGGATCAAATCCTTTTATAGATAAAACTGGATATCTGATGTAGTGGTATACACTCGGTGTCCAAACAGCATCAAAAACAATAAAAAAACACTGCAGATGTGAGGCCAGAACTATCAGAAAAATCTAAGAGGCCTAGATGGTAACTCTGGAGGAGCCCCAGAGATTCAGAAATCAGGTGGGAGAATCTGTTCAAGTATAACCTTCATGCATTCTGCAAAACTGAGATTTTTACTAGAGCTGCACAGAGCAAGCCCAGGAGAAAACCTTTTCAAGGATTCAAATGTCTTTTGACAGCGGTGAATTTCCTGCAGGTCTAAGTCAAGAAGCCAGACAGAAAAAGAAAAGCTTTAGATCAAAGCATGTAGGCTTTACATGTTGGACTGACCCAGCAAAGTCCAAACTCTGTCGGAGAATCGGTGTAAGGGGTTGAAAACTAATGTTCACAGATGCCACCTGAGCAACTCTACATAAGCAAAAATTAGAGCGCTAAGATGTACAAAACATCAAAAGACTTGAAGCTAAAAGGTGACAACAAAGGTACTAAACTTAAAATTCAAACCACTTCTCTTTAGATGTTTATCTGAAATAATTTAAGTGTTTTATCATTCTCTATCCACTTCACTTTATGCTTTTCTTTGTTGGTCTATCAGAAAAAAAACGCAAAAATATAAATTACACCCTCAGGTTGTGCTTGTAAGGTAATATTGCTGATACTGCATCAGTTATGCATTAAACCATGAACCTTTCTCTACATGCATTCATATTTTATGTATAAATCTACCCCAACCCTCAGAGAGCGAAGGACGGTTGCTATGGAAACTGGCTGTCAGAACATCCAACTGTGTGCCACCATACTGAAGGTAGCCTTTCCCCCAGCTGTGATTGGCCCCATGTACCTGTTCCCCCTGGTCTACGCAACCTTCCAGCTGACTGAGGCAGCAGTGCTGATCCTTGTGTTCAGGTGTTACCAACGGTTTGCAAGAAATAAAAAAGGTGAGACTGACATTGTTTTACAGTAGGCTTGTTTTTTTTTTTGTATCTCTAATCTATTAGAGAGGATATACTTTCTATAGAAGGTATGCTGATCCCTGGTTCTCTGCTTCTTTACATCTTTATATATACAAAAGTTGAAGACTGGAGCTGCTGATCTGGCAAAAATAAACCTTCAATATTCTCTGAGAAGAGAACAAAGTATATAAATTCATCGATCATGCGTCCTAAAGTCTTTGTGATTTTCTAGAAAGGTTGTTAAGGGGCTCTTGGAGCAAATTTGGTAGGCCATCTACAGTAGCAGCCATTCAAAATGTTCTTGCTCTTGCATATTTTTTTTACTCTTGACTCCACCCTTTACTGAATTAGAGTCTGACCAGGAAATAATGCTTCTCTTTAGATCTTAAAGGGGAACGCCGTTTTGTTTTTTTTATATTGGGCCCTTGATTTTACCTTATTACATCATGTTCTACTCACCCATATTAGATTTGTGTCATTTGGAGCCATTCTGCAGATATTCTATTACCGGTAGGTTATATCCAAGGAATGTCTTACTATGGGCAACGAGTTGAAGGCAAAAACTAAACTGTTCCTAATTTATTCTTTATGGTACGTCAGCATTCATAACATGTAGGCGAATCACTGTCCCCCAGACATCCACGGTTATATTTTTTATATTTATATGTTTTAAAAACAAAGCAGAGTGTGTATGACATCATCCGCGCGCCGGCTATCATTCATTCATCCTGTCCGCTGAACTGCTGCTAGTTTTACTCACATGCCTGGAAGATGTCTAGTGCTGCTACCACAGATGATCTCGCGCTCGAAATGGAATTGATTGATTCAGATTAGCTCGCCGAATGAATAGAAGGGGTAGAGCGTAGCCGCCTGTGGCCCGGGCTGCCTGTCACAACTCCAGTCCGGCGCACGGATGATGTCATACACGCTCTGCTCTGTTTAAAAAAAAATATAAATATAAAAAATATAACCCCGGATGTCTGGGCGACAGTGATTCGCCTACATGTTATGAATGTACCATAAAGAATACATTATGAACAGTTTATTTTTGCCTTTAAGTCGTTGCCCATAGGAAGACGTTACTTGGATATAACATAACGGAATATCTTCAGAACAGCTCGAAATGACACAAAACTAATATGGGTGAGTAGAACATGATGTAATAACGTAAAATCAAGGGCCCAATGTAAAAAAAACAAACGGTGTTCCTCTTTAATGTCCACAAATCATGAGAGAAAGAATAGTTTAGTACAAAGACTGATGTTTAAAAAGGAATTGTAGGAGACCAACCATGGGGCCATCAAGGGAAGTGGGGACATTTTGAATGGCTCCTACTGTACTCCTTTGAAGGTTATTTTGTCATACAGGTTACAAAGGATTTGGTTAATAATAAATTCCATACCATCAATACCATATTCGCTGGAAAAGGCCCAATCCACACATACATATAGCCCGGCATCAAGGGCGACATTTCATTTGTCTTTGGAGGTCCAGATTTTCTATTTCCAAGACCTACATTTCAACTCGAATACCCCAAAAAGATGCAATTAAGTGACAATCTGTATCAGACTTTTGCATTTAACTTGCATCAACAGCAGTTAAACATTTTTACTTTCTCACATTTCTTTTCTTTTGCATGTAGGATAATATTAGTTGTTTAGGGGCTATTTATATTTAGAAGATGTCTCTGTGCTGTGAATATCAATGTAGTACTGGTTATAACAGTGACTACAGACACCATGGAGAATAGTAGTGGGCATTTATGTTTATAAGTTTTGTTGTTGTTGAGTTTTTACAGCACTAGTGGCTTGTTTTTCTGACAGTATGAGAGGGGAGAGACATGTGGGAGAGCACCAAAGGTCACATTCGAACCCGGGTTGCCCACGTTGAGGACTAAGGGCTCCATATATGGGTCTTGTGCACTAACCACTGTGCCACCTGCACACTCCTATCATGAGAAGTTTTAATCGAGATTAGAAGTTCTTTATTGATTTGTTTAAATAAATTATAATCACTGACAATTTAAAAACTCTTGAACTCTTAAAAATTCTGTTAATATTTTTTTTCCTTCCATTAGGGCATTAGCAAATTTGAAGAATATTAAAAGCAGTTTCTAGATGCTTGGATATATATCTTTTAATATATCTGGTGTCCTAAAGAAGCTAAATGTGATTATTCAAGAGTAATAGTTTGGCGGCTGTTTGCTGTAGTGACCGGTCCCAGCCATACAGTTAAGATTGAAGTGTTTTTTTTTTTTTTATTGTCAACTTTATTAGTATCACAATGATATAACCCAATATCGTGACAAAAGTTTAATTGCATATCGCCCTGCCATTTTTTTTTTTTACTTCAGATTTAGCATATTCATATGCAGCATTAAATTCAACCTGCTTTCCACAGAAACAGGAAGTGAAAAATATACCCATACTAACAGATCTGCATCTCTATCTATAGACAATTACCAGCAGACATTGACAGAAGAAAGCTAAAGGATTTATCAGAAGAGACGGCCTGATCGAGGCACTGATGCCATTACACATTCTAAACTGTAAAACAAGTGGAGTAAGGTTTTGTAAATGTCATAGTACACTAATAAAGATGATTCAGGGTTTAATAAAATTGTTTTATTCATCAAGTCTATTTTCAATACACCATACAAACATCTATGTTCACTGAAAATAAAAATCCTCATGTACAAAAAACCCCAAAACCTTTCCCTCGGATCACCTGTTCATCACCCACAAAACATCTGCCAAGGTACCCTAGCGGTAACATGTATACTTTAACACTTAACAGAAGGCTGTTGTATGTACATAAACTCCTGATTTAAGAAACATCACCCTAGGAAGCAACATGATCACTTACAGAGTGCAACTGAACGGTTAGCTTCTTCCTCAAAAGTTTTGCCTCTGTACAAAATTATCAAACAGTGAACCCATTAAAACTGTAGCATACATGAAGTTAATTTACAGGTTTTAATCAGAGAAATGTCCAACTGTACAGATGTGAGCATGGTACGGAAGCTGCCAATGCCAGGCCTATTCGTGTTTCAGCTTTAAGCACAAATCTGAGGTTTAATTGCCTTAAAACAGAAGCATGAACACGTGTTTTGTGCAAGCTTCGACAGCTGCAGGTGGATGGGAAAGGAGGAAAATCCTGCACAAGGAGGCAGGATGTGAATATCCCACTGATGCAGAAAAAAAGAGGGGAATAAAAAGTCAGGGTCCGATAGTTCAAGCCATTTAAAATTTTTTTTTTTTTTTTTTTTTTAAGGATCTGTAACCTGGATGTTATAGGAACTCCTTTTACTATTTTATCAATTAAACTGCTGAGTCATAACTCTTGAATGGATCGATTTCTAGAGCTGAGGCAACACAAAGCATTCTGGAAATAATCTGCCAATCGATAATAAAGAAAACAAAAAAATTGTAAAGAAAAAAAAGAAATTCAAATGAATTTCTTTATCACTGTTAATGTGTTGGTAAAAACAAAAAGACAAAACTTGAGGACAGTCACAAGAACAATCCAAACAAAAACTAAATTTGCTTGAAGAAAATTCATCTCTCCGTATTCAAAGGAGGCAACGGGAGTTTGCCTCAACCAACCCCTCCTAGTTGCTTCTACTGCGGATTTTTACCAAGTTAGCGTTGACTGTCAGTAGAAGGTGAGCGGGAGCGAGGTGAGCGGGAACGAGGAGACCTGGAGCGAGAACGGGAACGTGAACGGGATCTCGACCGGGAACGGGATCTGGAGGCCCTCTGAGCCGGCGGAGGCGAGGACGGAGTTACAGATTTGCTAGTCTTGGATGAGCGCTTGTTGGGCTCCTTGGATTTGGGGCTTGGCGATGAGGCGCCGCGTGCAGGTGTGCCACTACGGGAGCGGGAACGAGAACGGGAGCGGGAATGGTGGTGGGCCTTGGCGGGGCTTCGGGAACGTCTGGGAGAGCGTGACTGGGAGCGGCCGCGGGACTGTGAGCGGCCACGGGACTGGGAGCGACCGCGGGAACGGGAGCGAGAGCGGGAAGAGCTGTCCGAGCGGGAACGGCTTCTTGACCTGCAAAGAATAAAGAAAAGAAAAAGGAATTAGAAACAATTGAAAGTTAGAGCTGAAAAATATCAAATAATTATGTTAAGCTTCATTATTTTTATTTTTTTTAAAGGGGGGCCAATTTCCAAAAAATATTTATATTTTTTTTTTAAGAAATTTTTTTCCGCCGCTGAAGCATCATTATAAAGCTTCTAGTTGTGCCTTATGCAGGAGACTCACCTCTTTTTGGCAGCTTCAATGAGTTTGATTTTCCTTCCATTGATTTCCTTTCCAGAAAGTTTTTCCATAGCATTTTTCAGATCACTGTGAGAGGCAAACTCAACCACCCTGTAAAGAAATTTAAAAAAGCTTTTAGAATAGACTACCTTTCACGTATAAACTCTTCAGCAGTGACACGTCAGGCCTAGATGACAGCTGTGGTCTTACCCTTCATTGAGTTTGGGGCGATGTGCGTCTGCGAATGTCACCTCTCCAGCTTGTCTCATGAAATCTTTCAGGTCCTACACATGCAAACTCAGGTAAGATTTCGGAAGGGTTTGGAGAGTAACAAGCACAGCTGAGACATGAACTGATTTACTCAAAGGGAGAGATTGTTAGTCTCAGAACTACACAGGTTACAGCAATTAAACAGGATGAGTTCAAGACACTGAATGTCTGTTTACCGACTCGGTGCTGTTAGCATAAGATTATAAGTACAAAAAGAAAATAAGAAATACAATGCAGTTAATTTAATGTGAACCCTTCCTGTAAAGGATCACTGCAGCAAAAGGTCGGTTTATTCCAACAGCATTGAGGTCTTTGAACTCATCGCTCCTTTAAACTACAGAGATGATCACCATCTTCATCAACTTGGCAGCATCTGGCACCAAGAGCCCCTTTTTCCCCCGACAGGGAGGGCACAGGTGCTCGGCGCCGGGACCGCCCCATCTCGGCACCCCACCTCGGTAAAGAGAGTGAACAGGGTGGAAGAGAGGAAACTACTACCTGAGAGCGATACCCTTTGAGGTGGGCCGCAGGCTCTCCGAGCCCACCATTACCAGGATAACAGCAGATTATATCCACGGGCACCTGGGAGGAATTCACACTCTGTCTCTCACGATGTGCGGGGACACCACAGGGGGGAAGGAAGGAAGGGGGGATATCGATCGATCGAAGCCCCTCAAATTAACGAACCATCGATCAATACGCCACCACCATCGATTCGCTCTCTCCTCTGCTTTCTCTCTGCCAACTCTGTTTCCTCTCTCTCGCCCTCAACCACACAGCAGGCGTTGCGAGCGAGCGAAGGGCCGCCAGCGCCTCTAGTGTGGAGCGAGCGCTCACATGACCAGCAGGCATCAACTAGGAGTAGGACACACTGGCTGACAGCACAGGCTCAACCCAGACAGAAGGACCCAGAAGGGGTTTAATCCACCATAAGCGAGCTCTTCCACATGACACAACAGTCAAAGCTGGCAAATAAAGGGGTGGAGAATTGGTTAAAATTTGAAAACAATAAATTTGGTGTTTTGTTTCTTTGTGTTTTATTTAACTGCATATAAAAAATTCAGATTTTTATTTTCATTCTGAAATAAAACTGGGCTTCAATAAAAAAATATCACAGTTTTACTAAAACCAACTGATCCAGTTAAGTCTGATATTACAATTTAATTTTAAAGTATGTTTTTAGCAGCCAATACTAAAATGTTATGTGTATTGTTGGAATCAGATAAATGCAGGTGGTATCATTTGTAAAAGCTGTGAAATTAAAAGGCAACACCAACCTGCCAGCTCACACGGGAGGACAAGTTCTCCACAATCAGACGGTTCTCGGTGCGCATTGGAGGAGGGTTTCGGCTGGAAGCAGATACAAAGCTTTAAAAATGTTGCCCAATGCCCCAAAGCCAAATACGCAAGGCTGCTCAATTCCTCTGTTTACCTCCGACTGTTCTGGGAACCTCTTCCATAGCGGTCAGAGAAGCGCCCTCCTCCACCGCCACCTCCTCGTCCACGGCTGCCCCGCAGGCGCACACGAGCATGTTCAATGGTGACTCTGTGATTAAAATGGAATGTTGGTTCAGAAGAAACAAAAACTAAACAGCTGTGTGTCTGAAGTTTTAGTTGCAAATAAGAGCTTGGCCATAAAAATGATACACAACCCTTAAACTTAAACTAAAATCTTGATCAGAGCTTAAGGTGTTAAAGAAATAAATGAAACACAGAATTATGAAACAGAGCAAAGGGTAGGCTGCATTTATACCCCCTAAAAGGTCTTACTTTTAGATCTGTACATCACCTTTGGTTCATGCTTGGAATATTTGCACACTTGCAGGCTCAAGTACTTGCTGGCAATGTTAAAATTGGACTTTTAATTGATTTATTTCCTCTAATACAGACCAGGTTTGCAGAGTGGGGACTATGATTAGATTTTATATTTCTAGCTGTGACCCTTTATATTAGGGATCCTCCAATCAGTTATTGCCAGCTGAAACTCTGTTTATGTTTAAGTTTAGGTCACTCATTTGTTAACTTTACATGTTATCCCTTCGTTGTTGATTTTTGTTACCCATAATCAGTAATGTTACGTTAGTATTTGTTTAAAGAAGAGGGCTACAGTTTTTTGTTTTGGCCACAACTGTCATTATTAGAGAATTACACAATGACTTATTGATGTTCTTTTCCATCTGCTCAGTCTGTGAATAACAGTACACTGTAGCTAAACATACATTAATTTTTTAGGTTTCATATCTCAATGCATCTTGAAGTGTTCCTTATGAATATTAATGTATAATTATTGTCAGATATAAACAGCTGATAAAAGGGTATAAAACTGCAACTTTTTTTTCAGATTAAATGTGAGCGGCAGCCGTATTTGAAGGCAGCTGACTGTAAAGCATGAAGCAGGGGAAATGGATACAATTTTCAGATTTTAATTTGTAACAAGAAAAAAATAATCAAAACTGGACATGATTTTAATCTCACTTCCTTATGCACTATTCAGTGTTGCCTTTCAGGACTACAAGTCTTTTTCTAAAGTGTTCAAAGGTAGTAATCTATCATGGTGTGACTGTGAAAGAACAGGGTGTACATGGAATAGAACACACCAAATGTATTTAAAAAGTGTGAAAACCTCACCTTTCATTGCACAGCTCTTTTCCATCGAGTTCATAAACAGCATCTTCAGCATCTCTGGGATCGTCAAACTCCTACAGAATATCAGATGTAGTCATTTATCAGATAGTCAGGAGCAGAGGCGTAGCCAGAACCTTTTTAAAAGGGTGGCCAGGCAATACCCAGTGTACACTGAGGGGTGGCCGATAGTGGATCAGTGCCAGAACCTCACGGTCAATCTACAGGTCCAACAGGAAAATTAACGAGCAAAACATCCATATTTTCTAAATAAAGACAAACTACACTTTCCTACAGCCTTTCAAAACAAATGGACGCATATATTTAAACATCCATGCTTTCTAGATAAAAGGTATAATGGATCAAATTGTTTCAGGTTTGAGATCTGGGGAAAACATTTTTCCATTGTCATTACCTACCTACATACTTTTATCAATAATCATTCTGCATAAAATGTATATTTATAAGTACTAACATCTACATAAATTGCTTATTAAGTTTTTATTAAAATAGCCTACTATGATTTCACTGAAGACTCCTAGATGACTTGCATAAACACATATTTTCTTTACCCCATAAGACAAAATCTAGTTCTGAAAAGAGCAAGAATTCTGTATTTATCATCTTTAATGTTAGTATATTGATGTGCATAACCACATTAACCACATAATAACCAGCGTTTTTGTTGTCAAGAAATTGTGAATATATGAAGATTATTAATATTCTACTTGAGTGTATTACTGCAGCCACCATCTATATAAGAGGGGGAGGAAAAAATGGTAGGGTGGCCATGGCCACCCCTGGCCCCCAATCTAGCTCAGCCCATGGTCAGGAGACCCAAACTGTGGCAACATGGTTTAAAAAAGTAAAAACTGACAACACGCAATGTTTGAGTTCCCTAGGGAGGTCTGAACTGGGAAATTTTTCTTTTTGACTTATGGGAAATGTCAGGGTGGTGCTTCATGTAGAGAACAGATGTGTGTGTGTGTGTGTGTGTGTACCCTTCTAGACCTCAGAGTGAGGACAATTTTTCCAATTTCACCATCAAATTGAGGCCCAGTTGTTGCAAAGTGAGGACATTTTGCTGATCCTCACTTGCTATTTTTCTAATGGTTAGGTTTAGGGGTTAAGGTGTCAATTGGTTAGTGTGAGGTATGCATTGGTAATGGTTAGGGCATATAAAGGGTTGAAAATGATTGAAAATAATGGAAGCCAATGGGAGTCAAATACATGGTCCTCACTAAGTTGGCAAAACGAGTGTGTGTGTTAGGGGTTAAGTAATCTAAGTAGAAGCTCTTATGAGCTGCACAAAACCCCACAATACCACAAGAAAATACTGATCATAAGTAGCAGGATGCGTGAGGAATTTTAAGGATAATTCAATCCAACCATGATTACATACTCTTGAGCTCACAACGCGCCAATTTAGTCGTGACCTAGTTTCCATCGCGGTGACTCACCACGAAGCCGAAGCCTCTCTTTAGGTCAATGTCCCGAATGCGGCCGTATCCTTTGAAAAACCTCTCCACATCCTTCTCTCTGGCCGACGGGCTCAGGCGGCCGATGAATATACGACATCCGCTCATGCTGAAAGTTTCGTTTAATCAACTGGAAATAAGAACATTATTATTATTTCAATTTTTTCCGTTAACAACTGCCGCACATATGCTAGTAAACGACTGGGCCTTAACTGTACTACAAGCTAATGCATAAAAATAACGGTAAAACGATGTATAGCGCTACCGCTATCCACGCAGAATTGTTATTAGAAAAAAATAGATTATTTTAACTTTAAGAACTTACCGTTAGTGAATCACACAGCTATTACTTATTTTGTTTTAAGTCTATCTCTACAACCGTCGACTGCAAAGATGAATAAAACAAAATGGTGCCTGTGCACTTGCAGGGCGGAGCCTTTTGAAAGGGAAAAAAAGACCACGTGACCTATTGCGAAAGCAGAGACTGCAGAACGCGGAAAAAGTCGAAAGACTTTCCGAAGTCTTCCGAATGTGACGCCATAATCCCGGAAATACATTTTAATTGCTGCAGTTATATTTCTAACCACTGGGTGGCACTAAAATACAACTAACTTAATATCTACCAGTGTCTTCCAGACAATGAAATATGAAAGGCACGATAGAGTTCACTGAAATAAATCATTTTAAAAAGTACAAGCTACTAAGAATAGGTTAGGAAAGCAAAGAGTTCATGTGAATCTCCAAGCTACAGCTTCTCAATTGTATTTAGGCCTGGATCATTCTAGCATCCAATTCAAAAATACTTTAATAATTACAAAGAAAAATTAAATGTAACTTATATTAACCAAGTTGTTTCATATAGTGCAGTTAGATGCTGATGGCAGGAAGGGCCTCCTGCAGTGGTTTGGCTTGCACTAAAACCTCCAACTGTGGGGAGTGGCGGCCTAGTGGTTACAGCATAGGAATTCTGAGGTTGTGAGTTCGAAACCCACTCCCATAACCTCCACTCTGGCTCTTTGAGCAAGACCCTTAATCGCCCCCAATGGTGCCCTACGATCCCCAAGGGGATGGGTTATATGCAGAGGTAAATTCCTCCAATGTAAGATCAATAAAGTTGAATTGATTACAAACCTTTGTAAAATTATAGAGAAATCTAGGATTTCAACAACATTACAATACATTTATTAATTTTGTCTATCTAATGTAATTTCTAAAAAAAAAAAAAGACTGCAAAGAATGCCAACATCAAATGCAGACACATGCTTGTGTCAATTATTTTGACATGCTAAATAACACATAGCATTTAGAAATATTTACTTTAAAAACCACAAAACTAAATAAAACCTGGAAGGTCAGTCAGTGACAAACACTGTAATTGAAAGCTGTAACATATATTGAAATGTTTTTAAAACACTTTACTGTTGTAAGACAGTCTGATAAAAATGATGCTCAGAGTTGTCCTTAAGATATTCTAATTATATAAAAGTAGACTTTTTATGGTAATAATTAAAAACCCTTTGATTGCCCATGTTAATTACAAATATTAACCACAGCACCACTCATATTGCAAATGCTCATCTGGTTTAGAGATGCCGATCAGGACAAAAGGCCGCCTTTCTCTGGTGATATTCAATAGTGACTTCAGGTAAAAAGGGGTGCCAGGTGTTTAGCTTTGCAGTGTTCATCAGAGTTGATCCTAGGTTTGAAAACTGAGCTCCACCGATTACTAGAATGGTTGGATTTTTTTTAAGGGGCACCTTTATTAGCTTAAAAAATTAATTCTGGTCTTTTAGACCATTTTGTATCAGAGTTGGTGACCTTTATAATAAACCATTTTGTTGCAGGTCTAGGTATTTATATAAAACAATCTTTCTTCCAGTATTTCCCTGTATTCAGCGTAAAAGTTCTTCACCATCAACCCTGAACAGCTTTCTTTTCAAAAAGCACGATGTTGATCTAATGACCATGTATCTGCTATTTTCCCCTCAGTAGCTGATTAATAACTTTAAATCAGATTTTTTAGGGCTTCTCTAATATATTTTTTTGTCATATTTCCGAGGAGCTGGATAAAAAAGTATCCTGTGGACATTTTATCCCACTTGAGCTGATGATCTCTGCAGCTCCTACAGAGTTACCGTGCAGCTTCATTCAGTTTTGTAGTTCAAGTGAAATCACTGCCAATGTAAAATACTTTTAGAGATTATGTGTTCCCGGAACCTTTATCCAACTGGCTCAATGTATTTTAGAACAAACAATAATGATAGGACACCGAACAAAATCCACACCTTCCACATTTGAAAGAAAGCTTTAATTAGAAAGTTATATACAGACTGTAAAATTAAATTAAACTTTATACAAATATTAAATTACTATCTTCACACCCACTGCCATGTACAGAGAGAAAAGAACAAAGCTTAAAGCATGGAAATCAAGAATCCAGATGGGACATTTGAACCTGTTATCTCTGGGGGAATAAACACCGTACAACAGTGCTTTTTAGAAACTTTTTTAAACCTCCAGTCGTCTTAAAAACATTAAGTCTTACGGCAAAAGAAGCCAAAAGGCAATGAAATATAGGTTCTTTTAGGCTCATTGTTATAATTATCATAATCTTTATCACAGTTGGTGGTAATCGGGGGGGTGGGGGGACAGACAGAGATATTCTTTTACTTTTGCCAACAGAAATAAAACACATTGATAAATAAAACTGTTTTATGCATAGAATAGAAAAAAATAGAGTAAGGCAATTGGAGAAAAAGAAATCTAAAACTGTAAAGCAATCAATTTGGAGGCTTAAGATTATACATATTAAAAAGAAAAGAAAATGTAATCTAAGGCAACATTTTGTTTGCATGAATTATGAAGCCACAGACAGCACCCCCCACCCCCCAAAAAAAGAAAACAAGAAAATATTTTAGATTTCATGTGAGTCTGTGTGTTTTCAAAGCTAAGAAAGAAAGTAATCATCAGCGTTGGTCTGAGCCATGCCGTTTCCAGGGTGACTGACTCAAGCAACAAGGCTTTTCAAGTGTCAATAAAAACAGATGATGAATTCTAACAGAAGGACATGTTTTCTATCTTTTATTTGCACTTGGTGTTAGAGGACTGAGCTGATGTGATGGAGGGTATATTGCTGTCAAACGTTTTATTTCTTTCCTCTTTATTTTACTGCAACCAGTTGCAGTTTGTTTTCCACAATTTTACAACAGTGGAGAGTGTTTATTTCAGCATGAAAACGGATGAGAGCCAGTTCCTTTAAGGATAGGGGCGATTTACAGCCATACGGGGGAGGGGGAAAATTTTCTAGCTTCAGAGCGGATAAATAATACCCACATTGTGTTGAAAAAAAAAAACAATGGTAGAAGTGAAGCTAGATTGTCCATGTGACTTTTTTTTTAAAGTGTTGGGAGGGATATTTTCCTATGATGAAAGACTGGGGCGTTGTCAGGACGGCCTCGATCGGCCCACATACAAACCAGGAAAGGGGTGTATCAAGGCCTACCATATCAGGACTGTTCTCTCCTGTCTGGTTACATAAAACAAAACAAAACAAAACAAAAAAAAAAGAAATACACGCGCTCAGATTCAGCAACTCAAAGCAAACAGTCACACACAAACAATAAATACAGAGAGGAGAAAATTAACTGATAAGAACGTTAAAGTTTAGATAACCCTTCAATCTCTTTGTTCAACAACAGGCCTCTCTCACTTCACCCCCCTTGTACAAAAACTGTAAGATGCGCAGCCGAGGCACCAATCGATCCCCCTCATGCGTCTAGATACGGCAGCAGCGGGACGGGAACAAATAGAGAAGCAGATCTTTTTGTAGTTGTGATATGGTGCTCGACGAAATGCAGCGCGCCGCTTTTAGCTTTTGTGACATGGTTGTCACTCCTGATAATCCGTTTGCCAGACGGCGATGATGAACTCACGGCAAGAGAAAGAGAGAGGAGGATTCATGCTTCGTTCAGTGTGCCGTGACAGCATTAAACTGAAAAACAACATGCAGCATTTGCAGAGGGCCACAAGGAAGTCAGGCATGACTCACGACTTCTGAAGTACAGCGGGAAGACGGTCTGAGCGCCAAAGCTTTAAGAGCCAAAATTCACCGGTTAAACTTTTTCCTTTTTTTTTTTGAAAACATCAACAGAAATCCTGAACAGAGCTGATGAGCTTTTTTTGGGAAAAAAAAAAAAAAAAACTCGTAGTGGGAATACAGATAACTACACTGGGCCAGAGGCAAGTCCATGGTAATATGTATGATAAACAATCCTGACTCAGTAATTACTTTTATTCACAGGATCTACAGAATTTACGTCAATATGTTTCCACTTAATGCATCTGGCCTTTCCTCGGTCTCATCCAGAATGTGGGTCCAACATTGCTCTTCTTGCTGTAATCGTACTGGTTGTTGGCTTTGCTTGGAAATGCTAATAGCAGTAGGAGGATTGCTAGGAAATTGAGCACTGTTCCAGCCCTTTTCTCTGCTGGCTGCTGGGAGAACGGAGGAGAGTTTCGGGAAGTAAATAGATAGCCACAGTCAGTTCCAGACAGTAGCGACAGATAGGCAAAAGAGCTGCTGCTGCTGCTGATAGCGGGCCACAGGCTTCATGCTTCCTTCAACAGAGGGATATCTGCAGGGGAACAGAAGAGTCATTTCAGAACAGGATAACAGTTGATTCATCAGCTGCAATGCAGAACATCAAGTTTGTTCACAGTCCTAAATGTATATAAGCATGTTTGAATTTAAAAGGTAATTCTGTTAAAAAAATATTCATACAGATTTTGATGTTTTATTAGATTTCAGTTTATAATATTTCACTATTTAGTAAATAATAAGCACAGTTAGACAACTTCCTCTTACCGTCAGCAAACTCATCTACAGATGCCACAGAAAGCAGGCTGTGCTGGTCGCTGCTCTCTGAGTCTCTACGAGGTTGGGGGCCTGCACAAGCACCAACAAGGGGCTCTCTGGCCCATGAAGATGAAGAGGAGGACGAGGGGGCCTGATGAACCAACACTGTCTCTGCGTGACGGTGGGAGGAGTAGGAGGATGATGATGTTGATGGCAAACAGAAGTCTAATTCTCTGTGCTGGCAGCTCCTGCTGGAGTTTTGGCCCCCTGTGGCTCCCTGAGGAAGCCCCTCGGAGAGTACTATGGGGACCCGGGACTCTGATGGAGCTACAGGTGGAGGTGGAGAAGGAGGAGCACCAGAGGGGCCACTGCTTCCATATACAGCCTCTTCATAGGAGGGCAGCGACACCTGGACGCCCTCCACCATAATGGAGCTGCTCTGACCTGAGACGCCCTGCTCCCTCCTAAAGACCAAACAGACCAAGAGAATAAATCAGTGTGGTGAATGTGGATCAAAAACAAAACTCAGTTCTGGGTTACAGTCCGATGTGATGCAACATACAGCAAAATCAAAGCGATTAGTATTGCCTGTAGATCACGTTAAAGCAGGCTGCAGAAAGCACCCCCCTCCCCGGCCTATTACACAATCAACATGAGTGCCAGTGAGCATCAGATCAAATCATCCTGGCTTTTCAACCACAGAGCCCCAGCAGACACAGCTGTCAAATGTGATCACATGAACTATTTAAGTGTTTACATATTCATGGGTCAGGAATGTCAGACATGAAAGCTTGCAGAACAAGTCATACATGAGCTACAGGAGTCAATCAAAACTGAGATCAGCAGCAGAAAACAAATAATTACTAACTATGCCCAGGATAAAAATCAGTCTCAGGTTCTCTAACTTTACAAAAAGGAATTCATCACCAAGGTATGAAGGAAAAGGGAATTTTGTTAATCTTACCTGCTGTGATGGAAGGACTTGAGTTTCGGCTGTACTAGAACAAACAGCACGACTAAGAGCAGGATGAGTAACACAGAGCTAGCTGTGGTCAAGACGATGGACAGAGCTGGCATCCCCAAAGGCAAGCTGGGCTCCTTGTCTGGATGAGCCATGAGAACAGATCAAGATAAAAACGGTAAACAGATTGTACCATTATCATGGAGTGCTAGACCGTTTTCATGTAAAACAGCCAAATTTCCAGCGATATCTTTATTTTTAACCAACATTTTTAAAAATATTTAAAATAATCCATGGCAATATCTGTCAAGTCAAGACTGTAAACATATCACCTATTCAAATTGTAGAAAGTGACTGCACTTATTTATTTCACTTTTATATAGCGGGTATATTATATTATTTTTTTTCAAAAACAAACAAAAAAAATATAAAACTAATGAAAATGAAAGGAGATTGGCTGAGCTAACAGACCTTGTGTGAGTCTGCAGCTGATCTGCATGTGACTGTCCCACTCGCCATCCAGGCAGGTGAGGTATTTGTAGTCTCCCTTCATCGTGTATCCCTCGTCACAAAAGTACTCGATGACGGTGTTATGGACGAGGTGGTGGCAGGGAGTCGGGTGACAGCGGTAGCCTCCGTTCTCTGGTTCAGGGGGTGGTGAACACACTGGAGAGAATGAAATGAAATAGACATGTGGTGGGTATTACTGTGCTCAGGAAGACTGCTGGTGATTATTTCTACCTGTGGAGAGAAATCGAAGCTTAAAGTTGACCTAAAATGACACAGTGCTCCCTGCTAGCTCTCAAGGACACACCTCTCTGTCATTGTTATTGTAACGTTAAGTACCGTGGTGTAGAGGAATTTCTATCTAGGTGCTCAAGCTCAATTTTAAAAGGCAAAACTTACCTGACAAACACATTAAGATGAGCTGTTCTGAGCTTTAATAGATTCTATAAATATATAAAAGAAGCATAATCCAACGAAAAAAACACTTCAAGTCAATAAAACGTATAATAATAACAAGGTGCAATAATAAGTATTAATGTTTGTGGGTTATTGATGGGAGGAATTATTTCTTTAAATATTAACATTAAATTATATTTCTCTTAACAATAAAGGTCGTTGCTCACCATAGTTTTTGATGCAGTTTGGAGGTGGACTGGACCAAGCTCCCTGGCTGGTGCAAAAGATGGTAGCCTGTCCATCTGGTGTGTATCCTGGATCACAGCCGTATGTAAGCTGGGAGCCAGGAGGATAGGAGGCCTGGTTGGACTCGGTCTGGTTCAGCAGGCTTCCATGCTGCACTCCGTGTGGAGGCGCACAACCTAAAGACACGGGAAACAATGACATGAACATTTATCTGCTGCGTCTGGAGGGGAGAAGGATGGGCTTTGATCCCCGTTCTTCTGGATTACATAAGCAACTCCCTGCTGCAGCCTGGAAGCCAATTTGACTTCATAATCCATATTAAATAATGCAAGATAAAAAGTAATTACATGCTATGCAAGTAAACAGAGTTTTGCTTGCCTCAAGTCAGGGATGTGTATCTTAATTTTTAATTAATGCAGAGATTTTCATGTACCCACCGAGTCGAGAAACAAACTGTTTACCTTTGGAGCCCTTGTTCCATTTATAAGTTGTATAACCCTAAGTATTAACTTTTAGACATTGCATAAATAAATTTACACAGACTGTCAGTGTAACAATAACTGCTGCATTAATGTTCTGCTGTGGGCACATTATGCTATTTCATTAAGCAGATTTAAACCCCTGCCTGGTCAGCTGCCATAAGGTCAAACAAGCTTTTAAAAGAAAATTTTGTCAAGTTGACATACAGTGTTTATAATTAAAGCTCAGCATTACTTGAAACTCTGCAGCTTCTCATACCAGATGAAGAGGAAAATGGATCAAGATGAATAGTTAGATGGAGGAAGCCCTGCTACAGTGTTGAGGATTAAAAATATCATATAGATCCAATTCCTCTCGATCAGCTCGTGCTCATTAAACCCTCCCCTTTCCACACTAGTAACAGTTCTATCTGGCAGTAGGTCGGGATCCTTCTCCAAGTTCATTTACTTTTTGATAATGGCAGATTCAGATATCTTAAGATATCTAAGCCAGCCAAGAAGCACAGGATGAGGGAGAAGCCCGGAGTCAATCAGGTTTCTATCCACAGAATGGCAGCATGGTCATATCAGCTAGTAGAGCCTTTGTTTTGTTACAGTGAGAGAAAAACATCTAAATGTGTGCTGTGTACCTTTGTAGCCGCCCCCCCCCCCCCCCAGCATCTAAAGCTACCATCGGGCAAGAGGAAACCGTCTAAATCCATCACATCTGACACAACATTGCAGCACCTGTGTAAACCGAGATGTAAATGAACACCAAGTTCAGTGAAACTAAGAACCAGAAAGTAGTTGGAGTAAATCTAGCTTGGCGCCACCTGGTGGCAGAGAAGGTACAGCAGTACTTATACTGTTTCCTGAGTTTCCTCTGTTTTCAGATGTGAAATTCAATACAAGAGGAATGGAGGGGATTCTGTAAAACATGCCCTGCGACTTTACTACCTTTTTATCTTAATAAAAAAAAGTTCATATGTTATAGGCATAAACAATACAATAAGCTCAAAGTTATGTTAAATATGTAAACAAATTATATATTTTTTTATTATTCTTGATTTTAGTGTATAAAAATTATATTAACCCTACTTTACTGAAAGCTACTTGACTGTCGCAAACAAAAAGAAACAGAGCAAAAAATCCACCCTGCCCCAATTCAGTTTATATTTAGGGATCGAAAAGAGACCATTTCCCCAATGAAAACTCAGACATCCTCTAATCTCCAGAGAGAAACAACGCTTTAAGCTGGAACCAGAAGATTAAATGGAAACACTCAAATGTGCAAAGCTTTCTCTCCCTCTCAAACACACACATACGGGTAAATGGAAACAAAGTCAACACCCATAAATAAGGGCACGCCCAGGGCTGACAAGACCGACACCAGTGGGTGTGTTACTGAGCTATGCTGTGGAAAGACTGGATGTGTTTACACAAGAATCTCCAAGATGAACAGAACATTTGGTTGCCAAAAAAACAACAACAAAGGCATCCTTTAAGATTAGATTTTTTTTATTCTTGTTAAATAAATTAATTGTGTTTTCTTCACTCATTAATAAGCAAAATGTCTTTCCCTGAGAAATGAGATTCTACAGGTCTTTAGAGATACATAAAAAAAAAAACAATCATGTTCTAACGTTCAATAACACTGTTCTAAACTGCTATAAGCTTGCTGATCTAAAATAATAATTGTACCTCCACTAACCCGTGCATTGGGGGTTATAAAAGCAAAGTAACCTTTTATAAACTCTTATTTCTACTTATTTGTTAAGAGTTAAAGAAACCCTTTTCCCCACCAGAACCTGGTTTGAAATAAATTTCCAGTGATGGATCAATGTCCGATATCATCCTAATTACCCCTCACATGAGAAAACAGTACAAACACATATACAATAATGTTGGAACAGTTCACTTTGCAGAAAAAAAATACATCTATTTGACTTAGACGCCCGTCTGTGCTTAAGGATGCTATCTGACACCATGACCACAGCAGTTGTTCCCTGAAAGGCTTTAGGGACACTAAAGGCTCTCCAAGGAGAGGACTGTGGTAAAGGTGAGGAATTGATTACCCCTGACTGAGAGGCAGGAGGAGGCAAAAAAGGCCTTAGGGGGCATTTAAGGGCAGCAGCTTTAACCCTTGTTTTTGTCCTTTCTGTTGACCTACAGTCAATAGAGCTGATCTAGACAGAGGAAAAGTAATTAAGGATGCTCAATATATCATGATCACACCACTGTGTGCAATATCCATACTGCAAAGGACCCTTTGGTGGGCAATAACTGTTGACTAATATATTACAAGTGTCATAAACATTAATATCATAAGCAGATGTAATATTTAGCTAGGTGGATGGAGTCTCAAGGAGAACTTAAAGTCCTACTGCAAAGCAAAAACTAAGAGATATAAAGGCTGCATTAGGCAATGCGATACTAAACCCACGCCTAAAAAAATAGACAATGGATTAGATGGAAATCAACTAGAGGAAAGGCTTACAGCACAATTGATTTGCAAATAAAAACATTTATTAAAACATGCTGGCTTAAAATGATTTGCTTTAGAAAAAATACTTAAAGGGAAAAACTAACCAGCAATTTAACCTCAAATACCATTACTAAAGCCTTTTCCACAGTAAACCAACCCAACTCACTGGAAATATATATTTTTCTCCTATAAATTTATGGTCATCTGGACTGGTATAAGTCAAAGGAAAAATAAAAAAAAATACCAAGTTTATTCCTTAAAAAACATTGTTTTAAGATGTCTTTCTGCACAGCATTTCTGTTTTCGACAAATATTTTACAGCAACAAATTTAAATGAATAGCTTCAAAAGTACGACTAGGAGAGAAATACTGAAGTAGGCAGACAATTAGAGCTTAAAAATAAAAGCTGATCAGACAGAGTATCCTTCAAAAGTGGCAAAAAAATGAATTTTAAAGTAAAAGTTTTTCATGTTAAAAACATATTTAGTAATGTTTTTACATTGTAAACACTATGCTAACTGCACAACTAAACTGTTTTAGTAAGAATTAATCACCTCCTGTGATAGCACCCCTGGAGTGAGAATAAAAACAACAACAAAGGATCTAAATATAATCCAGCTAAAAATAAAACTGTCTCTCTCCCATCAAGGTACACAGAAAAACATTTTTTTTTGCAAGAAGCTGAATCATAGGTCATCTATATAAAAAAAATATATATATATATATTTCAAAATATATTATATGTGATGTTATTATAAAACTTAGAAATGTTTTTAATGGTGCAACTTCCTAGTTACACAATGAGGGAGATTGCTTATTGACCATGGAGTCATTTAAAAGAAGCAGAAAGATGCAGTCATAAAACATTCCTGTTGCACAACAAACAATCAGGATGGAAAAGTAATTATAATAAATTATAAAACCCTTAAAAATGATGCTGAACTCTATCATTGCCTTTATGGGTGGTAAGAACCGAGATATTCAGTAAAAAGAATGAACACAGTCCTGGTTCTTCAAAATGATCTAATAGTTACCATACAATCTGTGCTTCTCACTTTGCATTAGCCAAAAAGTTGATCTAAATGTTAAAACCTGAAGATGGAAAATTAATTTTGAATCAAAAATTTAATTTGCATGTAGTACACCATGCTGTGTGACTTTGAGGATGAGACTGAGTCACAGCTAAACACAAGCCGTTATCTTTAGTTAGCAGGAGAACTGATTTTTAAGGACTATTAAAAACAATAATGACCAAAACAGAGTCTCTGTGAAAGCCAAAGAAAGACCAAAAATGAACAAGATGATACAAATCCCAGCTTTTAAGCTCCAACCTTTACTATAATGAAGCAAACGAAGTAGACATTTAAAAAGGTTAAACTATTAGAGTCCGTTTGAGCACAAAAATGTAATCTGATTAAGTTACTTAAAGATCAGGGAATAAGTTCACATTGAAGGGAGACTGTTGTCTGCACACCGCACCCATGAATCGGATTCCTAATCCCAACAGCTAGTCCCTTAAAGCTGTGCTGGAGGACACTCAACACATGGGTGGGGGCATCAAAATCCCCTTCCTAGCCCTAAGGTGCCGGACTGCCTGTGAATATCTCTCCTTTTCCCATCTGTCGCTAATGGCACACGTCTGTTAAGAGCGAGGGGAGGAGGGATGAGAGGAAAAAAAATAAAATAAATCAGGGTGGGAGAAAGATGTGGGATTTAGCAATCACTGCCCAGGCAAATTAAATTTCTAATTGTTCTCCATTACAGGCTGGGAGCACATTACAGCAAATCAGATACAGATTACTTAACCAGCCAGCTGCTACGCTGCTTTATACAATAGGCTATAAAAAAGGGAGTGTTTTCCTTAATGTGTGGATGTGGAAGTGGGGGAATTTGTGTGTGAATGTACCACTAAGGGTGTGCGGATTGGGTCAAGTCAAAAATTGAAGACAGGATGATGATTATGATCTTTTCCTGATAATTGTTTTTTTTCCCCCACACATTAAAGAGCCTCAACCCAATCCCTTTGTTGTTGTTTTTCTGATGATGCTCCAATCATTTTTGGGGCAAGGATGTTTTTGTTTTTCAATGCTCTCTTGTTTCTCCGGATAATCCATGGGATTTTTAAACCAAGCTGTTATTAGAGACTAGTACAGTGAAGCAGAGCCAACAGGAAGAGAGTGTGAGAAAAATAACAGCATTTACACTAATTTCTGCCACCAATAGATAAGCTCAG